TAGATTCAGTCAGGGTAGAAATCTCTGTGGCCGTTGTGTGTGTTGTGGTGGGCGTGGTCTTGGGAGTCGTCTCTGTGGTTGTGCTTGTCTCTGTTGTGGTCAATGTGGTTGTGGGATTTGTCTTTGTGGTAGTGATTAATGTGGTTGCAGTAGTGGTCTGTGTGGTGGTGGTTGTCTGTGCTGTGGTTGCTGAAGTGGTGGGAGTGGTCTCATATGTGGTGGTTGTCTGTGTTGTGGTAGATTCGGTTAAAGTAGAGGTCTCTCTACTGGTTGTCTGTGTTGTGGTGGATGTGGTTGTGGGAATGGTCTCTGGTGTGGTGGTAATATGTGTTGTGGTAGATTCAGTCAGGGTAGAAGTCTCTGTGGTTGTTGCCTGTGTTGTGGTGGGTATGGTCTTGGGAGTCGTCTCTTTGGTGGTCCTTGTCTGTGTTGTGGTGAATGTGGTTGTCGGGTTTGTCTCTGTGGTAGTGATTACTGTGTTTGGGGTAGTGGTCTTTGTGGTGGTGGTTGTCTGTTCTGTGGTTGCTGAGGTGGTGGGAGTGGTCTCAGGTGTGGTGGTTGTCTGTGTTGTGTTAGGTTCGGTTACGGTAGAGGTCTCTGTAGTGGTTGTCTGTGTTGTTGTGGATGTGGTTGTGGGAATGGTCTCTGGTGTGGTGCTTGTCTGTGTTGTGGTAGATTCAGTGAGGGTAGAAGACTCTGTGGTTGTTGCCTGCGTTGTGGTGGGCGTGTTTATGGGAGTTGTCTCTGTGGTCGTGCTTGTCTGTGTTGTGGTCAATGTGGTTGTGGGGTTTGTCTTTGTGGTAGTGATTAATGTGGTTGCCCTAGTGGTCTGTGTGGTGGTGGTTGTCTGTGCTGTGGTTGCTGAGGTGGTGGGCGTGGTCTCATATGTGGTGGTTGTCTGTGTTGTGGTAGATTCGGTTAAAGTAGAGGTCTCTCTACTGGTTGTCTGTGTTGTGGTGGATGTGCTTGTGGGAATGGTCTCTGGTGTGGTTGTAATCTGTGTTGTGGTAGATTCAGTCAGGGTAGAAATCTCTGTGGTTGTTGCCTGTGTTGTGGTCGTCGTGGTCTTTGGAGTCGTCTCTCTGGTGGTGCTTGTCTCTGTTGTGGTCAATGTGGTTGTGGGGTTTGTCTCTGTCGTAGTGATTAATGTGGTTGGGGTAGTGGTCTGTGTGGTGGTGGTTGTCTGTGCTGTGGTTGTTGAGGTGG